TATATATATATATATATATATATATATATATATATATTTATATGTGTGTATATATGTATATTTATATATATGTGTATATATATGTATATATAGATAGATATGTGTGTGTGTATATACATGTATATATATATATATATTTATAGTTATACATACTTAGGTGTTTATTTGTTCATCGATGTGATTAATCAAAATCAGTTAAATGTGATGTTGGTGTTCTTTATTCAGAAAATCCACATGTCACGTTTCATGATCTGGTTATAGACACAGATTAAATGTTCAATATGAATATTTCTATATTTGTTACTACAGTTGAAGTGTTACACACATTAGTAGTTGTAAACACTCAAAATAATACATATGATGGTTTATCGTAAATATTTAAGGAGTAAACATTTTTAATAATCACTTTAAAAATTACAAATGTTGTATTTGGTGCCTGTTTGTTTTCCAGATGTATTAGTGTGTTTGAATGACAGGCATTAACATAAAACTCTTTGTAGAACGTTGCTTTATGAAGTTCAGTCCAGTTCTGCCACATTCAATATGGAGGCCGCTCTGACGTCCCGCTGCAACGCCTCAGCTCACTCAACGAAATTGTGAACGCCCTGTCTGATGACAATAGGCCAATCAGTGATGGAGAAAAGTCAGGGGAGCTTTGTTATGAAACAATGATGCTTGTTTGAAATGTTTTTAATTGGTTAACTCAGAAACTGCTGATCTGACTCCACATCCGCCCAAATTTTTCCCTCCTGCCCAAAGCATTTTTTTTACCCGCAAAAAAAGAATGAAAACCGCTCAACTGGTGGTAAATCGCCCAATCTGGCAACACTGTTCAAATGTCACATTTGCAGGTAAAGAGGACTCACTGCACAGAAAATCATTTGATGTCAGGCCTTTTTCCCTGAAGCAGCTGGGTGTGGTTTGTATTCTTCTTCTAAGAATATTACCATATTTTCCAGCATATAAGTCTCGGTTGTTTGCATAGATTTGTCAGCCCTGCGACTTATATACGTTTTTTTTTTTTCCATATTCATAATGCAATTTTCGACTGACGCTTGAAATTTTTGAAGAACTAGAACTGCGAGTCCTCCCGTGCACTCAGCTGGTGCAGGTGGAGGAACGTTGGAGAGTTAGCGGCTCTGGCCGCAATAGATGGATGGATGGCGCTGCGCCGCCCAGGTGAAATAAAACTGTTTGGACCGTTAAATAAACTCAACGGGTCAGCAGTGATGCATAATAAATGCAACTTATGTATTTTTTTTTCCTCTTCATAATGCTTTTTTTTTTTTTGACTGATGCAACTTATACACCGGAAAATACGGTAATCCTCCAGGAACATGTTCTTCTTTTATGAAACACTTGAAATTCTCACTCACCTGTTCCCACGTCAGTTAAAAGTTGAAACCTATAGGTTGATTCAGTTCTCCAATACAATACAATGACTTTCAGTCAGTGTGAACGTCTTAATGAAGCAGTTCAACATAAACAACTGTAATTTTTTTTATATTTTTGAACTAAATTATATGATATTTACGATTATATTTATAACTAATTTATAATAATGACAATAAAAACTGTTTGGACTTGTGTATCTGCGTTTCTTTTTCTCTTTGAATTGAATATGTGTTTATTGTCAAATAATAGGCCCCTGTTTTCGTCATAAATTCACTCGAAGCTCGTATATTTGGGTGAAGTCTCTTAAAAGACATTGTAGATCTAAGAATGGTGTGTTAACAGTGTGATTGGTGAACGTTTCCCTTTAATTTATGCAGCAGCGACGCCCAGGCGGAGACGCTGTTCTGCTGCTTCAAATAGCCGGAAATCATACAACGGTAACCGGATATAGAAAAAATAAAAGCACAATAACGTGACCTGTTTAAAATGTGAACGCTGAATTATTGTCCTTTTTATTTTTTGGCACGAACATTTTAGCATCATTTTCATTTCTGTATAAAACGTATTTCTCATATATACTTAATTGCTTTGTAAAATGAAATTGTAATTTGTTATGAAAACTAATAGGTTGAAATAAAGCTTGAGTGAATGAATAGTGATTTTGAGAGTGTTGTAATAATTTATAATTATTGAAAGTCAAATGTTTATGTTCAATGTGTGAACAAATGTACATTTTTATCGACGAAGAAACGCTTCGCGCTCGACGTACAGCGCAAACGTGGTTTATTTTGAAAGGTATAACCGGAAGGTATAACATTGCTAGCGGTCGACTTGACGCTCGGTCCGGACAGGTGGGAGCTCCGGTTAGACGAGCCGCCGTTGTTCTCATAACAAAAGGGAACCGAGCCGGAGAAAAGCTTTAATTTCTCCCTGAAAAACAAGAATGGACGCTTTCCGGTAAATTGAACCAATATCCACCAAACATCGGCAACAATTTTCTCGACTTTTGAGTGAAAAATGTCCCACCGAGTAGACGAAATTTCAAAAGAAAACTGCGCAGTCATAGTTTATTGGGAGCGGTAACCTGACCAGGTAAGACATAAATTGTTTAATTTCCGTTTAAGTTTCTCGAAAAGTATTTTAAATGGTTTATTTGAATTTACAAGGGAAATCGGTAACCAGTAGGAAGTGACAATAGAGTACTGTCATTCCCTGCTTGTTAAACCGGTTTACATTATTGGTCGCTTAAATTTGACACTTTTTGCATTGAGTTTGGCTGCAAATAAAAAAAAAAATGTTCTGCACAAACTGTCACTTTTTCATCAGTGACAGACTATTTTCAGCACAAGGTTTGTGCAACAAAACAACAGTTTTTGTGCAAATTCATGACTCGTTTATCCAAATCATACAATTTCCACAGGTTAAACTTGGATTAGACCAAGAAGACACAAAGGGTTGTATTAATTCTGTTGTTTCAAAACCAGAAAAAAATACTTTCAACCATGCAAAATCCAAATGAAACAAATTATGTGTTTTATGCCCCACAGAGATGAGCGTTAGAACAAATGCAGAGCGTTAAATGACATCAGTAAGAGAAAAGCACAGGATCAACTAACGACTGGTTTGTTTACGCAGCTTCTTTTGTTGTTGACAGGAAGTTGAACTGGCTGCTGTGAGCGAAACCCTCCCATCGTTTGGTTGTTGAACGTGCAGCTCTTCCAACGCTTTATTTTCCTATCTTCCAGATATGGCAGCTGACGACAAGGTTGCCATCCTGACGGATGATGAAGAGGAGCAGAAGAGGAGGTATGTTCTGGACGAGCCGTTCAACACCCTGGCCGCGGCGCCACAGGCGGGCGAGTCGCCGCCGCCCGAGCCGCCGCCGCCGCCGCCCCCGCAGCCAGACCCTGTAGACTGCTGTGAAAGGATGTGCCTCCGGGTCAACAGCCACCTCCTCGTCTCCAAAGTCTTCTACTTCTTCTTCTACGCCGCCTACGGCTCGCTGCACCCCCTGCTGGCCATTTACTACAAACAGCTCGGCATGTCGCCGAGCCGCAGCGGCCTGCTCGTGGGAATACGGTACTTCATCGAGTTCTGCAGCGCCCCCTTCTGGGGTGTGGTGGCAGACCGGTTTAAAAAAGGGAAGGTCGTCCTGCTGTTTTCCGTTTTCTGCTGGCTGGTGTTCAACGGTGGCATCGGCTTCGTCAAACCAGTGGAGATGAAGTGCGAGGAGAAGGGGGCGTCGCTGACGCCGACCACGCCGCCCCCTCCTGGAATCTTGACTCTGACAAACGGCTCCACAAACCTCACGAGGAGTCGGAGGAGCGTTGTAGAGCTCCCTGAGTTTCTGAGCCTCCTGCACTCCTCTTTTAACGTTCTTCATCGGTACGAGCGAAGCACTGAGATGAACGCGACGTCGGCTCGCCTGGCGGCACCCAACGGCACCGAGCTCACGCCAAACTCCACCGTAACGACCACCACCTCCCCTGCTTCAACTCCCTATAAGGAGTACCACATCGTCTACAACCAGGACCAGGTGGAAAGCGTCTTTCTGCTCATTCTTCTCGTCATTATCGTGGGCGAGTTCTTCAGCGCGCCTGCCGTTACCATCGTGGACACCGTCACCCTGCAGTACTTGGGGAAAGCCCGTGATCGCTACGGCCTGCAGAGGATGTGGGGTTCCCTGGGCTGGGGTCTGGCCATGCTGCTGGTGGGCATCTGGATCGACAACACGCACATCACCGTCCTGATCGACGGCATCGGCTGCACCCTGCCGGAGTACCGCCTGCACAACTACCAGCTGGCCTTCATCGTCTTCGGCGTGCTGATGGGCGTGGCGTTCATCGTTGCCACCCAGTTTTACTTTGAAAAAGGAGACGAGCGTCGTCAGGAGGTGCCGGAGGTGGTGGAGGACTCCACAGACTACCAGACGCCGCCTGAATCCAGCTCCTCAGACCAGACGCCGTCCGCCCCCGAAGCCCCACAGGAGTTTCACTATGGCGACCTGCTGAGGCTGCTGTGCACGGTGCGCTACAGCTCTGTCCTCTTCGTCGCCTGGTTCATGGGCTTCGGCTACGGCTTCGTCTTCAGCTTCCTGTACTGGCACCTGGAGGACCTGAAGGGGACCACCACGCTGTTCGGGATCTGCTCCGTCCTGAGCCACATCTCCGAGCTCGGAGCTTATTTCACCAGCCACAAGTTCATCGAGCTGGTGGGACACGTCAGGTAAGAGTCTTGATGTTTGCTTATTTTGAATAAGATGGCAGAAACGCATCTCGAGAAGCCAACAAAAGGCGGAAACAGTTCCATGTGTGGGCGGAAACAGCTGGAGGAGCTTAAAACTGTTCTGTTACATATTAAGGCGTGGAAATAAAAAGAGCAATCGAGAGGAGTGGAGTGTTTCAGAAGACTTTGTTCTGTTTTCTGTCATAATGTGAAGTCGAACTGTTCAGCGCAGTTTGAATTTTCATTTAGAGTTTTTGATGACCTGCGATAAAATATTTTATTAGAAATTAGTGAAACGATTGTGATTTTCAAAATGACTGACGAATGACGTGTATTGAGGAAAAAGTAATTTCATATTTCTGTTTTAAAGAGTTTACATAATCAGAACAACATGAGAAATCTGTAAAAAAAAAATAAAACTATAGAAAGTGCATTTCTGGCAAAAATGCAGTGTGAATGCTTATTGCTGAAAAACAGCTGAAATTGGCTGAAAAACACGCTGAAATGTAGCTGAAATGTAGCTGAAATGTAGCTGAAATGGAAGAACAAGCTTAAATTCAGAAGAAAGAACACATATTTCTGAAATAGGTTTAAATGAGCAGAAATGAGCACAACAATTAGGAATTAGCTGAAATTAGCAGAAAATAGCTGAAAAGGCAGAAAGAAGCTTAAACTACCAGAAGGAAGTGGAAGGAGCTGAAATGAGCTAAAAAAAAAAAAAAAAAAGTGGAATTAGCTGAAAAGGCTAAATAAAGTACAAAATCAGCTAAAAAGTAGCTGAAATAGCAGAGAAAGCTGAAACTAACAGAAAATAGCTGAAAGGAGCATAACAAGCTGAAATTAGTAGATATAAATTAATTTGACTGAAAGTAGCAGAAATTACCACAAAAAACTTGGATTTATCTGAAAAAAGCTGAAATTGGCTAAAAAAGTTATTAAAAAAATAGCTGAAAAGGTAGAAAAGGCTTAAAGTAGCAGGAGAAAGCAGAAAGAACACGTGTTTGCTGAAAGAAGCAGAAATTAGCACAAAAAGTGGAAATTATCAGAAAAAAGCTGAAATTGGCAAAAGAAAATACTGCTGAAAAGTAGCTAAAAAGGCAAAAAAAAAAAAAGCTGAAATCACAAGAAGGATGTGGAGAGAGCACATTTTTGCTGAAGTATGCTGAAAACCAAAATTAGTGTAAAAAATGTGGAATTGGCTGAAAACCCTTAAATTAGTATAAAACAGCTATATATTAGCTGAAATATATAAAGCTGAAACTTGCAGAAATAAGCTGAAAGGAGCATAACAAGCTGAAATTAGCAGAAAGAAGTTAGAAGAGGCACAAAAATGTAGTTGGCATAAATAATCTGGAAGGAGCACAAAACAGCTGGATATAGCTGGAAAAAAGTTTAAATTTGCACAAAGTAGCTGAAAGTAGCTGAAGCAGAACAAAACGTGAAAGGAGCAGTAAAAGGTTGTAAACGCATCTAAAGATTTGAAGGATGTTAAATTCATTTATTATGAGAAAAAAGTGGCAGAAAAGGCTAAATATATCAAAAAGCTAAAGTTGCACCAGCACCAAAAGTCACAGCACCCTTCTCCTTAACGAGCTGAACGTTTTTGATACGATTTGATGAAATGGCACAAAAATTGTGGAACGAGAAAGATGCCGAAAAATGCACAGAAGGAAAATGGATCCCAATAGAGTGAATGCTTCATGAACATCCAGACAATAAACGATCAGATACGTTTGGTTTTTATTCTTGATCTGTAAGTTTAAGTGTAAACAGAAGTGTGGAGTTAAAGAACTGTAAAGGCTCATGAGAAAGCAGACAGGAGAGGCCAGGAGCTGGAGCTGGTAGCACAAGCTTTTTCTTTCTTAAATATATTGTTAACGTTTTCATCTGGACCCATAATCCCTTGTCACCCTGTTGCACCCCTCCCTGCGGAAATCTTTGTGCCAAAAAAATTTGACCTTTGGGTTGCCACACCTTTAAAGACTTGTCCTGAAACACTTCCAGAAACGCTCCGATGTCAACAGTTTACCAACCAAAAAAAACTAGTCGGACAAAAAAAAAAAAAAAAAAAAAGAAGCAATATTTGATGATTTATCCTTAATGTTTGGTGCTTTTTTTCTGGTTCAAAACTTGTCAAAGGTCAGATGAACGAAAAATAAAAATTTTCTAAATCATGGATGATTCATCTTCAGTAATGAGGAGAACCATCTCAGCTGGTTTGAGGGTCCATTAAAGAAGTTCCTGTTGATGCTCACAGGTCAAACCAGTTTTAGGACATCATTGTGTGAATGCTTATTAAGCATTCACACTATTGTGATCCTGTCTATATTTAATATTCTTCCGACTATCTCCTTCCGCAGTTTTTAAGCTATTTCAACAAATCATAAATCAAAACGTTCAGCTCTTTCAGGACAATCCTGCTGTGACTTTTAGTATTGGTGCAACTTTAGCTTTTTTAAATATTTAGCCTTTTCTGCCATTTTTTTTTCCTCATAGAAAATGAATTGAGCTCATTTTCCATCCTTCACATCTTTAGATGTGTTCACAACCTTTTACTGCTCCTTTCACGTTTTGTTCTGGTTCAGCTTCTTTCAGCTTCCTTGTGCAATTAAAAAAAAGTCTACTTTTAGCTAATTTCAGCGGGTTTTTTTCAGCTGTTTTGTGCTTCTTTCTGCTAGCTACAACATTTCTGTGCTTCTACTAACTTCTTTCTGCTACTTTCAGCTTGTAATGCTTCTTTCAGCTTATTTCTGGCAGTTTCAGCTATTTCAGCTACTATTTAGCTGTTTTGATGCTAATTTTCGCTTTATCAGCTAATTCCAAAATTTTGGCACTGATTTAAGCTTTTTTCAGCCTAATTCAGCAAAAATGTGCTCTCTCTACTTCCTTCTAGTAATTTAAGCTTCTTTTTGCTTCTTTAGCTACTATTCAGTTGCTTTTTTTTTGTTTTTTTTTCAAATTTCTGCTTTTTTCAGACATTTTCCACTTTTTTGTGCTCATTCCTGCTTCTTCCAGCCTGACTGGGTACAACTGTGCTCTCTCCACTGGTAATTTAAGCTACTTTCTGACTTTTTAGCTACTTTTCAGCTGTTTCTTTTGCTAATCTCAGCTTTTTCAGCTAATTTACTAATGTTTGTGCTCATTTCTGCTTATTTAAACCAAATTCAGCAAATGTGTTCTTTCTGCTTTCTTCTGCTGATTTAGGCATGTTGTTCCATTTCAGCTCCATTTCAGCATTTCTTATATATATATTTAGCTAATTTCAGCTGTTTTTCAGCAAGTTCTTCTGCAATAAGCATTCACATTGCATCTTTGCACGTAATGTACGTCATTAGATTCTGGGTTCTGATCGGACCCACTTGACGTGGGCTTCTCACCACTTCATGAAACCCACAAATACAACAAAAGGAGATGCAAACCTTCAGATGTGTCATGTTTTGTTTTACTCCGAGCTCCAGTCTATGGGGTGATGTGTTCAGGTACTGGCAGCACCGGTTCCTTCACTTCCTGTTTGGTCAGAAACATTTGACGCAGCTTGATTGCTTACACCAGTTTGGATGTAGTTTTGAACGTTTCGAAGAGACGGAGCTTCACAATCGGTTCGCTGATGAAATGCGAGACGACAAAGTGTGTGTTTATATTTGCGAACGAGTCGGTGGACGGTTCGGCAGCAGCGTCAGAGCCTCGTTGTGTTTTTGTAGCAGGTCAGTGACGAGCCATCGCTCCTCTTTGAGACAAAGGCGTCGTTGATGCTCGGCGTGTCTTGTGTCAGTGAATGTCGACATCTGAGAGCCGAGTGTCAGATTTCAGGCTGCTGGGAGCGCTCGAGGAGGGGAGGAGCAATGCTTTCAAAAAGGATTCGATTCATTAAAATATCACTGAAGGTGTTAAAACAATTCAGGTGGATCAGAGAGTAGGAACACAGCTGGTTTATTCAGGTCATCTCAACTTCGGTTACTGTTCTCTCACTTTAAAAATTCTTGTTTTTTTTGATTGGGAAGTGTATTTTTTGCTAAAATAATCCCCAGTTCTCCCAACTGTTGCTTTAGAAAGAATGAATACGTTGAAGAAAGGTCAGTTTAAGAGAAGAAAAGCTCTTGTTTAGTTAATGTTAACATTTGCAACACACTTCTGGTTTTCATTGTGAAGAAGAAAATCCCAAAGAACTATAAACGTAAACTATAATATATAGGGATGCACGATATTATCGGCATGGTATCGGTATTGGATGATATTGGCGATAAAGTTAAATATCGGACATCGGCCATTCCATCAAAATAATCACAGATATAATAGGCGCTGTTTTTGTATGACAACCCAGTGACAAGGATGCCTGCAGCGCAACGTGATGACGTCACGTGCGCCCACCTGATCTGATCATGGCGCAGAGGAAGACGTCAAAATGTCGGAGCTGTGGAAGGTTTTTTTTTCGTTGACGACGTCAGATTCTGAAGATTTTTGGACTATGTTGAGCCTCGCTACAACGTCCTCAGTTGATGTTTTTCCGACGTAGCCTTACCCGATTTACAAGCCGTCATTTCCGACGTCATTGAGAAGCTAATAGCCGATAGCACTTGGGTGAGTTTTACCACAGGCATTTGGACGTCGTGTTAGCCCCGTTAGCATGATTAGTGTTACGGCACAATGGATAGACAAAAACTTTGAGCTTAAAAAGGCACAAGAGTGCAGAGGATCCCACACTGCAGCTATAGGAACCTGGAACAAACCTCCACAAGTGAGACAGCATCACAGCTGACTAATGCTAATAAATAACATTTAACACTTTTCATTTAATGTAAGTTAAAGTGCTATGCATATCATATGGCTGTTACTGAATATATGTCACCAGCTCTTACAGCTGTTACACAGTTTTTGTAGCAAATAAACCTAAGTAAGAGGAATATGTTCTGACAAAGGAAAGTATATTAAAAATATTGGTATCAGTATCGGTTATCGGCCAAATAAGTTTTAACATATCGGATATCGGCCAGAAATCCAATACCGTGCATCCCTAATAATATACATATAAAAGTAATATACAATGGATAAATACAATGCTGAATAAGGACATCAGATTAATAAGTAATTCTTGATATAGAGGCCAAACAAGTTGTAAAATTAAAAAAATTAATATAGTTTAAAATGATACAAATACAGTAGTCACTCATTTATTGCAGGGGTTATGTTCCAGATTCCCACCCACCCCCTTAAGTGAAAATCCACTAAGTAGCAACTTTATATTTATTTCAGTATTTATATACATTTATAAAAAAAAACTTCCCACACTCTTGCAATGTTCTAAACTCTTAAACCTACATCATTTTAACAACATACATGCAGTACTATATATGTAGCTACTAAATTTTACGCACTAGCTCTGCAGAACAGCAGCGGCTCGGTTCCGCTCCGACTTGGTTCCGTTTCGGTGGACCTACCCTGCTGGTTCTGGTCGGCTCTCTGGCTCGGGGTGGTGGCAGTGGGTTCCGGATGGAACGCTGGACCTTCAGCGGAGCGCGTCCTTCTCAGAAGTCCTCGTGGACCAGCTACCAGCTCTCAAGATTCACCGATGGGTCTGGAGGTCTGGTTCTGGTCCAGTTTGGTGGGTTCCGTGTGACTCTCTGCATCCGCTGGGCGCCGAAGTCACTGTAATAAGAGCCAAACTTTTTCCGATCAGATCAAAACTTTCCCTCTAGTGTTTCAGCAGGAGGAAATGGGGCTTTTGGGTGGGGCCCTGTTGGCTTCTGGGAAATATAGTCCTTATGAGTGGAGATACAGTGCAGACTTACTGAGAGAAAACTACAAAATGGTGGCGCCTGTCTGAAGTATTTCATTTTAAAAAACTTTTTACTGTACAATATCCAGTACTGTCTCAATCACGTGAGTAATATTAAAGTTGACAATCGTGTGTCCTGTACTTTTATTTACTCATGTTTAATCGTACTTTGAAAAACTGCGATAGAGCGAATCCATGAAAGTCGAACCGTGAAGTAGCGAGGGACTGCCGTTACGTAAAAGATGGAGATATTGTCGCTGATTTTATGAATTTTGTTCTGTTTTCCATAAAAAGAACAGGAAGTTGAAATGATAGAGTTGTTCAAAAGCTTTAACTGGCAGGAGTAGATGAGGTTAAACTTCTTCCTGCTCCTTGGAAAGAAATGTGACAGGAAATGTTTGGAAGAATAAATGAACATTTTTCATTTTTATGTTTCAGCAGCGTTGATCAGAAACTGACGCTTACATCGAGCTGCTGCAGTTTTCGCTTCCTGAACACAAGCAGACGCAGAAAACAGCTTCAGTGCTGAAAACTTTCTGCTGCTTTAAGAAGCATAGAATGAACGCTTGTTTTGAATACTGAAGCTTTATTGTTGAATATTAAAATGAGCCCCTTCAAGGTCCGATAATTTATCTTCAGTTTGCACCACTTTAATTTCTTTGTTTGCGTCTTTCGCAAATGTCTGCATCATTTTGTCACGCTGAGCTCTTCTCAAACGCTCTGAATGAGACGTCTGTGGTTTTGTTTCAAGCGTTGCATTAGAGGGGGCGGGGCCATCGGCCTCGCCTTCTCAGTGAGCACCTATTTAAACATCTTGATGTTTAAAAAAAAAAGTTATTGCATTTTTAATGTTGACAGACTGATCAGCTGTTCGAGTGCTGTTCTGATCCGCCGCCGTCGGTCTTTGTGTTCTCAGCAGGGCTGCTATACACAAACACTGAACTAATCCTCTCTGCTGATGAACACATGAATGACGGAGGATGGGTGTGTGCGTGTTTGTGCCCAGACGGCTGCACAATGTCGGCTTTATACAAACACAAGTTTGATTCTGTCTCGGTGTTTCAGACGAGAGAAGTAAAAAATATTCATAGTAATTGTGCTATTTGATAAACTATAAAAGCTTGACGTTAGAAGTAGGAAGCTTAGTCAAATGGGAATGTTTTTGGTTATATAGCTTCGTCGGTTATTTATGAATCATTTCTGAAAGTTTATTTTGCAAAATTAGAAACGAATGTTTTGATACGTTTAGATTTTTGTCCCGAAAATGATGCAAAAACTGCTGGCACAGCCCTACAGAACCTCACTGACCTACACAAGGCGAAGGTGAACAAGGCCAGGCTGATTCTGGCAGATCCTGATCATCCACTCCATGGCGAGTTCAGGTTGCTTCCATCTGGACGCAGGTATCTGCAGCCCAGATGTACGACAGACTATCCCTGTAGCAATAAGGCTTCTCATCGAACAATGATGATTAGGCCTGTTGCGATAAACAATAAATCAATTAATCGCATGATAAATGAAAATTATCGACCTCATTTTCATTTCTCGGCTTTATCATTTCTTCGTGTCTCTCTCTTTCTACTGAAGACACTGGATGACAAAAAGGCTCAGCTCCAGTTCTCTTCACCGACCCCTCCCTTTCTCTTTTCTCTTTAAAATCTATGTTAACCGTCCAAAAATTGCATTTTTGGATCGTTAAAAGCAGCTAAGCTGAGAGGCTAAGCTACGAGCTAAGCTAACAAGCCGACGTCGGAAGAAAAAAGCCTCCGTCTTGTCAAAGCTCCAAAATTCACGGTTGAAACCTGTGCCTTTGTGTAAAAAGATGTTTTTCTCTGCAAAAAGAACTTGTTTACTGATTCTTTTATTTAAAGCTTTGCGTGAAAAATGCTATGCTAAAGATCTCAAACCACACCGAGCGGCCACCATTTTGAAAATCAAAAAAAAAAAAAAAGGAGAGACAGCCCATGTCACGTCAAGGGGCCTCCCTCCCATTTTTCTTAGACATTTTGCTCGCTCCCTCACTATCCATCCTTTGGTTCAAACAGTCTTATACTGCCATCTGGTGGTCAAAAAAGGTACTACATGCAGAAAAAGAAACGTTTGTTTTTAAATTTGAGAATAATTACTAATTATTCTCAAATTTCAAACAATATTATTGTTTATCGCAATAATTTCTGAGACAGTCGCCCAGCAAAATTTGTTTTCGTGACAGGCCTAGTGAAGATTTCTGTGCTGTTAGTTTAATGTCTCCACGTCTTGTGTAGTATGGATGTTTTATGTGCCACTGACTGAAACAAATTGCCCCTCGGGGATAATAAAGATTCTTGAACTTGAACAGATTAACCCATAAGTCGTGCTCAAATTCTTCCCAGTAATTAAGCTTCATTAAAAAGAGTCGAACTTTGATACTAAGCTTGTAAACGTTGTGCTTTCACTCATTCTGTGCCACGAAACGGGGCCGATTTTAGATGTTTGATTAAAAAAAAATGTTGGTGTGAAAAGTTTCCCTTTGTAACACTGAACTGTCTGACCCCACAGAGTTCTGTACATCGGCCTGGCCTGCAACACGGCTCGTTACCTGTACATCTCATACCTGGAGAACGCCTGGATCGTCCTGCCCATGGAGGTCCTCCAAGGTAAACACCTTTTATTTGCACTGGCAGGCCATTAGAACCGAGGAGGAGCAGGAACTGAGCATGTTTGCCCAACAGGACGCTTATCAAGCGTCTTTCTTCCTCCTGCAGCCAACCATTCATCAACAGCTCTGACACAGCCACTTTATAGGAGCAGAAGCTAAATCTACAGCTTTAAAACTGTTCGTGCTTATAGCCCTCAAAAGAAGAGAACGCTTTCAGGAAAGCTCAGACAGACCTTTTTTTTCTTCTGTCTTTATTTTATCGTGCCTGTTGGTTTTTGCTTTTAGATGACGCATGCATAAAGCCGAAACTACGTGCAGCTGCTGCACAGGCCCGTGTCTACTTTCAGACGTCCGCCCACAGAACAAACAAACGAAGCTCAGTAAAGAGCTTCAGCGTCTCATCCTGCTTAAACTAAGGTTGAGCAGAGAAATGATCAAAAACACAGTTTGAAGCTATCCGGAAGAAGCGAGGCGCTTTACAGACGGAAAACATTTCTGCAGCCGTTTGAGGACTTTGTTTGATGAGCTGCCACCTTCTCTCTGTGTTCAGGTGACTCTGTTAGTTTATTTATTTTACCTTTTATTATGTATGAATCTTCTGGACAATAAACAACAGCATTATGAGTTCAAGGGTTGACAAAATTAACCAAAAGAAAAGGAATATATACATAAACACACACACACACACACACATATATATATATATATATATATATATATATATATATATATATATATATATATATATATATATATACACACACACACACCCAATGCTTAATTTCAAGTTCAAGGTTCTTTGTCATTCGCATCACATGTGGTACATGACGTGGAATGAAATTGTGTCCCCAAGGTCTGTTACACCCAAAAACAACAAAAATATAAAGTATATAAAAAAAGAAAGTATACAAGGATCTAAGATATACGCTAACCAATAATAATGTAATATAATACTGTGTATTATTTGAGCCGGATCCCGCCAGAACAGGATCCGGGAACTCTCTCTTATTTTGATAGGGTATGTTCCAGTGACTGTTTTGCTTGGATCCAGTAACTCTCAGGCTTACTAATAATAAAGTTATGAACAAATATGACTGCGTTGAACGAATGAAACTTATATTGGATGTTTAAACTGAAAATAAGTACATAAACACTCATTTTAAACACAACAACCACTTATGAACTTCTTAATATCACATACGATCTGCCTCTTCTTGACAGAATCATTGTTTACAAATGTAGGTAAATGTAGATGCTTAACCTGTTAAAATACACCAAAATGCAGGAAATTGCATCTACTTTATTCAAAATTTTATGGGGGATGGCCCCCAAACACTCCCAGCCCTTTCTTCCCACTATTTGCGTTCCAGCATTGATCGGTTTACAAATTAGGCCCTGCATTCCCCTATATCAACTTTTATTTATACAGGTTTAATCCCATTAAGCCTCTGGGACTCATTTATAAGAGAGACTTGATTTTAACGAAGAGCGATGACAACAGTGGACAACAAAGACGACAATAGACAATAATGAAAGGAGGGAGGGTCTTTACATAGCCATCATTTTGTTATGGCCTTTTATCAGATATCAAGAAAATTTTCAGAAGGTAAACATCATCTGTGGCTAGTTCGTCTTGAAAATGTCCCAGAGGCATTGATGTAAAGGAACAAGTGATATTCAAGCCCATTGTCTTTGAGAATATTTTTGTTCCTTCTGTCCACAAGGGCTGTATAGGTGGGCCCGGCCAAAATATATGTCCATGATCTGATTTCTACAGCACACTGCAGATGTAGCACTGAATTTAGACTTTTGTTGAAGTGTTATGAATATAATATGAATATTATGTTCGTCCAACCAAAGTCATGCCAGGAGTTGGAGTTAGTTGACGTAAACTGTATTTCCCAGACCCTTATCCGCTTATTCTCTGTTAGTTTATTTTTCCCATTTTTGTTTTATATACCGCAGTTTGTTGAGTCCCTTTTAAGTTTGATCAAACATTGGTACAGTGTACTTCGAAGAACTTTGTCACTTCCAGGGTTATCAGTGTTAATAAAAATGTTAACAATTGAGAAGTCTTTAATGGTAAACTTGTTTGTCCTTTTTCTAATATAGTTGCGTAATTGTAAGTATCTGAAAAAGTTTTGTTTCTCCAGGCCATACATTTTACGTAAAGTGGCAAAAAGCCATGAGTTTAGTCTTTTCGATAAATGTGTATGCTGCGATAATGCCATGCGACACCCACTGTTTAGATCTAGTGCATTAGAAGACGGGTAAAAAAAAAATCAGGGTCATATGCTGGTCACCTATGAAGTTTTATCTCCTCCTGGAGAAGTAGCTGCTCCGCAATTCCTTCCAAATTTTCACTGTCAGATTAACCCACTGGCTGGTTGTCAAAAAAAAAAATCCTTCTTAAGAGCTGCATGGCCAAGCATAAGCTGGATTGATGTATAAGAAAGAGTCGTTTCAATACTTTTCCATTTCACACAATTAGATGGGTTACACCATCAAATCAATGGTTTCAAGTGGACAGATGTGTAATAATCCCTCAATCAAGGTGCAAAGTAAACAAGTTCAGTCATTACAGACTTCTTAGCAGGAGGTGATCTGGTGGATGAAGAAGACTCGGCTGCTATCATCCTCAGACTGTAAATAACACAGAGTTTAAAAAATTAAAAAAAGTTAATTAGATCACAATAATACAATACCTCTTCTTGCACGGTCATCATATGAGGTGGTTGGATATTCTCTCTCGCTCATCATCGATGTGGCAGGGCTTTAATCTGGTCCAGGGCTTGTTGACAATATCAGTTTTAGCTTTTTCATAAAGTGCTGCTACAGCTTTTTGGCTAAGTATTGACGTGATGGGATGTCGTAGAGGGGCGCAAGAACGTTAAAGCCAGCGCATCAACAACATTCGGACGTAGATCCAGAGCTTTAAAAACGTTATTGCTCTGGACCGATCTGAATTACCTGATAAACCTGGTATTGATACTGATATTACCTGATACCTCAGGGCTCTGTTCTGGGGCCATTGTTGTTTTTGATCTATCTGCTCTCTCTTGGTCCAATGCTGTCATCTTTTAAGGATATCTCATATCACTGTTATGCCGATGACATTCAGTTGTACATCTCTTTTTTTACCAAATGAGGTTTCAAAAATACAAATCTTACTCAACTGTATGGAATCAGTTAAAAGCTGGATGACAGAAAGTTTTCTTCAGCTGAACAGCGAGAAAACTGAAGTAATCATCTTTGCTCCAGAAAAAACAACTGCAGTGATAAAGCAGAACCTTGGACCTCTTGGTCATTTAGCTAAGTCCTCAGTTAGAAATCTTGGGCTAACCTTTGACTCTTGTTTTACCCTGGAAAATCATATTAAGTCTCTGGTTCGTTCCTGTTTCTACCATCTGCGTAACATGGCCAAACTTAGCCATATTGTTTCCCGTCCAGAAATGGAAATGTTAATTCATGCATTTGTTTCATCTCGCCTGGATTATTGTAATGCACTGTATACATGTTTCAACAAAACCTCCCTAGACCGGTTGCAGTCTGTGCAAAATGCTGCGGCTCGACTCCTGACTGGATCATCAAAGTATTGCCATGTAACACCACTTTTAAAACAACTTCATTGGCTCCCAGTTCAACATCGAGTGGATTTTAAGGTTTTGGTTTTAACCTGGAGAGCTTTACATGGTCAAACACCAAACTACATAACAGAACTTTTACATCCCTACACACCGATCAGAGCTCTGAGGTCCTGTGATCAAGGCCTGCTGACTGTCCCCCAGACAAAATTGAAAGCTAAAGGAGATGGAGCCTTTTCTTCCGTGGCTCCAAGACTCTGGAACTCTCTTCCTCAAACTCTCCGATCACTGGACTCGGTGATTTCTTTTAAAAGTCAGCTAAAAACTTATCTTTTTAAATCTGCTTTTGCCTGAATTTGTTTTTTTTGCTTTTGTTTATCTGATTTGTTGAAGCGTTTTGTGATTTTTACCTTGAGAAGCGCTATATAAATAAAGTTTTACTTACTTACTTATAAAGGTTGTTTAAATGCTGCTGTTATCTGCGTTTGAACCAAACTGCGTTCACATTCGGATGGTGTCGTTTCAAGCGCGTTAACAAGTTCGATGTGTTGCCTGCTGCAGAGCCAATCTCCGTGAAACAACGTCGACACACAGCTTTGGATTTGTTCGCTTGTCTTTTACCAAGAAAGCCGTAATGTTCCCAAACAGGAGACCGCAACGAGAAGCTAATGCTAATGCTGCGCGTGCTGCAAGGCTATGCAACAATTGCGGCGTGCTGAAACACGCTTAGGAACTTTAGTTCCGCGGCGCATAATCTCTCGTTAATAAAATTTAATGAGTGGAAAAAATAACCACACGTGGACCGAACCGAACATGCTGTACTGAAACGATTCAATACACCCACATGTACTGTTACACCACTATTTAGTATACAAGTAAAGTTGCACTTCACTCAGTGTACTTTATATACCAACAGTGTGATAAGTTGACCAGCAGTCTGGTAACCTATGGCTCTGCCCCCGAGACAACTACTCCAACCATATAACCTCACGCTAACACTTGAGGGCGCATGGATCCTTAAAGAAGGAGACGCGCTAAAACCTACAGAGGAGTCAGTTTAAATGACTGAAACGTTGATTATTGTTTGCACAACTTCAAATTTCGTCAACACTTCCCTTTTAACTCCACGGCACATGCAGTACGTGCTTCCCCAAAAATTTATGCTACTCTTTTTTTTTTTTTGCCACCCTCTCTGCTGGCAAAAAGAGCAAAACCGACAATGTAACTCCGATTGGACGAGAGTTCCCACTTTGTTATGGCCTGTCTCAAAGACCATAACAAAAAGGAGGAAGCATGCAGGAATAACTTGGAAATTGTTTCATTTTTTTAACTCAAGAATTATCATCTGAAAGAGCAATGAGCATTTTGCCTCTCTCTGAACTGAACTCCACTGGACACTTTGGCCAGCTGTCTCCAGTTCCCAATTAGCTCCCAATCACCTGTAGATCCTGAAATATGCAAACAGGAACCCAGAGAATAGGGCCTGTGGTTGTAACACGACTGTGCTAGTTTCAACTGAAACAGGAAGTTGTCCCCAGCAGAAAATTGAGATGGTGCAGGAAATGTACATGTACAGTTTCTGAACGCCAGCAGCTCAGGGGCCGGACATCCAGTGATTAAAGTGAGAGGTTTTCTCGTCGTTTCAGCTACGTACAAGTGCATATTGAAATGAAACGGTGTTCCCCAGGCTCACGGTGCAAAACAATACAACACGCAGTGCAGATCCACAACAGAACAATAAATACAAACAGATCTATAATAAATGCAAAAAGACATCTAATCTAAACAAGCAATTAAGAGACAAGACTAGAGACATGTGTTGATTAGTACATGTGTAGTACATGAGGTAGAAACACGAGTTTCTCTCTTTCTTTTTTTTTTATAGCAGCAGAGATGTAGCTAAGGTGCAGATTGCAAAAACAGTACAACACATTTAGGTTGTGTGTGTGTGTGTCAGAGTCCAGAGTTATAGAGTCTTATTATAAAATTTTATTTAAATAATTAAATTCATTATTATGGAAATAAACCAAGTGTTACAATGATCTGTTACCTTTTAAATGTGTTTGTGTTGCACTGAATCATAAATATGGGGGCCGAGATGGTGTAGAGACAGGGCAGCCGGCTTGGAACCCGAAAGTCCCAGGTTTGATCCCCAGACACTGCACATCACGTGGTGTCTCTGGGCAGCACACCTCATCCCCAAAATGCCCCCCAGGCGCTTTCAATAGCTGCCCACTGCACCACCTGGTGGTGGATGGGTTAAATGCAGAGACTAATTTCGCCATTGTATGGAAACGTACAGTGCTGACCTTGTGATGACATTATTATTATTATAAATGCAATAAATGAAACTCAACCCCCCCCCCCCCCCCCCAAAAAAAAAAATAAAAAAGAAAAAAGAAAAAAATTGGTGGGGAGAGGGGGAGTTGGGTCCATCATGAATAAATGCTTAGACATTAATACGTAGACGCCCCGTTGGACGTTGAACGGCATTCCTACGTCGGCGCCATCTTGGTGGAGTCGGGAGGAAAACGGAGTCGGTAAAATGCCTCGTACGTGTGCTGCTTCAACAAGTCTCTTGATCGTTTTTCAAAAGTCAAGTCAAAGTCACTTTATTGTAAAAACTGCAGTATGTACAGGACATACACAGGATTGAAATTACATTTCTCTCAGACCCCTGGTGCAACAATAACCATTTAACATTAAAACATTTAATAAACATAAGCATCAAATGATACGGTCTTAAATTGTAATATGGCGGTATAAAAAATATTTACAAAAAGTATATCTATAAAATAAAATGAAATGAAGTGAAGGTCCTGACATTGGCATTTGTAGTTGAGTGGCAAAGCAGCATATGAAGTGAATGTACATAGTATATGTATGAAGTCCTTGATATTGGTGTAGGCAAAGTGACCTATGCAATAAGGCTAGTACAAAATATATATCAACAGTAGTGTGAATATAAACAGTATTAATATAACATATATATATAGTTTTTCAGCCATAGTCTGCATAATTTTCACCATTATAACAGTGTCTTCGGAGTGTACTCCCGCGCAGAATTTATTTATTCGTTTAATTTTCATTCATTCATTCAACCTGGTATTTACTTTAGTCTGCTCATGGTATTGTATCTAATAATCAAAATATATGCAGTTAATTATATAACAACTCGGTTAACAAATCCATAGTTGAAAAGGAACTGTTAGCAGTTCCTTTAAAGGCTTTTACATTAAAAGTCTGTAACATTTATTGTTATTCATATATTATTAAACTGTAACATACACTGTTTTGTTTTGTTTTTTGTACTACTTTACGGCTGATTAAACATGAATTACTGATGTGTGGGATTAATAAAGTTATTGTACTAAACTAAGAAGCTTTAATACATTGTTTTTGGTACCTGTTTACAACTTTAGTGTGTGTGTGGGGGGCATTAATGTAAAGTTCACCGTTAAAATGTGCTTTAAAATCCTGTTTGTATTAGATCACAGTGCCGCTTTGACTCCTCCAATATGGCGGACACACGGTTACGGCACATCAGCAGGCCAACTCAGTCAACGGGGCATCTACATATTAATGTCTATGAATAAATGAATGAATGATTTTTTTTTTTTTTTAGGAAGTCATTGATAGGCTGTTCTAGTTTTTACTGTATAAGTTCTCTGTAAAATCACAGATTATTTGTAGAAAAACGGACTAGTTTCTTGTTTTTGTGCATTATTGACGCAAAAATGAGTTTAAATGTTTTGTCATAAATCTCTGTGCATGTGTGTTGTCCAGGTGTGACCCATGCCTCGGTGTGGGCAGCTTGTATCTCTTTCCTGAGCGCCGCCGTCCCACCGGCTCTGAGGACTTCAGCTCAGGGGATCCTGCAGGGTCTGCACCTCGGGCTGGGTCGGGGCTGTGGAGCCATGGTGGGAGGAGTCTTCGTCAATTTTTTTGGTATAATTTTTTTTTTTTGGCACCATGTATGGAGCTAGGTTGTTGAGGGCTTTGTAGGTTACAAGTAAGATTAGAAGTTTTTTTTTTTTTCGTTGTTTTTGGTAATTTTTATTTTTAAATCTTAACATCACGGTGCAGCTAAATGACCAGTCAGTGGACGTTTAAGATGCAAAAATAGTTTATTTATTTTTTATTCATTTTATGTATTTTTTTTTTTATTTTTTCCAGGGGCTGCAGAGACTTTCAGAGGACTCGGCATGGCCTCCCTCATCATCCTCCTCATCTTCTCCTTCATCCAGTGTCTAAGTGGAGAGATCGAAGGGAAAGGTGGGGAGAATTACTTTTTTTATTTCCCCCCAGAATTACAAATTCCTTTGTTGATTAAAGTAAAAAAAAAAAAAAGCACAAAGTGTGTTTGTCTCTGGTCTTAAAGGCATGATTGCAGTGAAAATATTTAGTTTTTAACTCGGCGATCAATGTTTCCTCTAACTCTTAACTGCATTTGGTAACACTTCTGTTCTTTCCGTGAATTTAGTCTTTTCTGCCAGTTAATTTAATTATAAATCACCCCCATCAAACCCCTATTTACGACCAGCTTTAAGGACAACCAAACGTATACATCGTAAAAATGTTAAACGTAGTAACTGACTTCAAATCTAATCGTCTCCTGCTTTTCCAGAGGATAAAATCCTGGCAGAGAACATCCCAGTTCCCTCCAGCCCGGTTCCCATTGCTACCATCGACCTAGTTGAGAGCCACAGCGACCCCAGCAGCCTAACGCCGCCGAGGCAGGCCACCGCGTTGCCAGTAATGAAAACAAAACACCAGGAGGACCAGGAGGACGTGACGAAGCCGGCCTGGGTGCTCTCCGGCGCCCCCTGGGTCACCATCGCCTTCGCGCTGGTCCAGATCAGAGAGCTGATGAACCTGAAGAAGGGCCCCCCTGCAGGGAACCAGCGACTGCAGGTGAACACAAACACAGTGTTCAATAGATCAGGCAGACACAGAGAGAGCGTATTTTCCATCCAACTGCCACCAGACAACAGAGGAAACACACCAGCTGATCTACACCTAAAACAGCTTTAATTTATATTTAGAATGATGCTTTGTACATGTCTGGCTTAATGATGGACGATAAAGTATTTTTATGGGTATTATTTAAAAAAAAAATATATATATATATATAAACTTTGTTTATTGAACTGACCACTTTAAATCGTTTCAGATGATGTTTACAGTTTTTATCTGATAGCTTCATTGTTCCTGAAGTCGAGGCAGACATAACACCAAGCATCTGAGAGCCACGCTTTAGTTTTTCTAAACTTCTTGTTCCGACATAATGATTTGCATTTTCTGTGTCTGCTCGTGTTTAGTCTGCTTTATGTCGTTTTGCTTTTTTTTATGTTTTTATTTTTGCTGTACAACACAAATTTCATTGCAACATACATGTAAATATAAAGAAAACAGGCTTATAACAAATATATAGCACAGGGTAATATCATTTTTTCACATAAAAGTTGATTTTTTTTTAAAAACATAGAGAAAAACGGTTCAGTGGTCTTGAGTTTTTATTTTTAAAGTGTCTCCTGAAGCAGGGGTTCTCAAACTTTTGGGGTTCAGGGACCCCTTACAGGGGAGAAAACGTTTCAGGGACCCCCTCATGTTTTTAAAATAATTGTCTTCAGTTTGTCTCTTTAATGCAGTGGAAATATTTGTGTAACATAAATACTTAAGACCTGTTCTTTAATAGTGTTAATGCAATTTTTTATTCTTTTTAACATGAGGTATTTTTCATTCAAGATGCAATTAATTAACAACATTTTTAATTTCAACTTCCAAAAACTACAGTTTTGAGAAAATTAACAGTTTAACACTTTAAAACTTTACTTATTCACGTAATGAACATAAATGTATCGACACTTCAAATTATTACAATAAACTGAACAGAATCATAACGGCAGTAGTCGTACCAAGTAACAGGGCTTAATGTGTAAACCGATCGATGCCGGAATGCAAATAGCGGATGGACTGTGGGAGTGGGGGGTCTGGGGGTCCTCCCCCAGAAATATTTTAATAAAGTAGATGTGATTTCCTGCGTTTTGGTGTATTTTAACTCGTTTTTAAACATCTACATGCTTGTAAAAAATAAAAATAAAATACACTTCTTTTTTTTTTCTTCGGACCCCCAGGGGTCCGGGGACCCTAGTTTGAGAACCACTGTCCTGAAGTAAAACAGACTTGTGATGTTCTGAGCACAAAGACACAAAAAACAAAGCAAAAAGCTGAACAGGAGATAAAATAAACCTTTGGTTTAACTTCTTTTTTAACAAACGCTCCTGACAAGTTTTTAGGTTTAAACTCTGTAAAGACCTTTCGCCGTGGAAATACTTGTGCTGGTTAAGTCGTTGGATGGACTGTAACGTTAAAACTAGGGGTGCACCGATTGCAGTTTTCTGGCCGATCACCGATTTCTAAAAAGTCTGACCTGCCGAATCCGATTTCGGCCGATACGATTTTGTTTTAGAAGCGACACTGTCAGGTGTTCTAAGGCCACAATGCACCTTCAATTTTCCAATATTATGTTATTGAAAAAAATACCCTTGAACAATAAACTAGAAACAATACAAACTTGTTTTAACTGGCCATGAGGTCATGCTCTGAAATATAAAAGAAGTTCAGACAATTCTTGTTAACTAGAAAAAAAATCTGTAAAATCGGTTTCTCATGTACAGGTGCTGGTCATAAAAATAGAATATCACGAAAAAGTTTGATTTATTTCAGTAATCCCATTCAAAAAGTGAAACTTGCATATTATATTCATTTATTACACGCAGACTGATATATTTCAAATGCTTCTTTTAATGTCTATGATTATAACTGACAACTAATGAAAACCCCCAAATCAGTATCTCAGAAAATTAGAATATTTTGAAAAGATGTTGAAGACACTTGGTGCTACAATTTAATCAGCTAATTAACTCAAAACACCTGCAAAGGCCTTTAAATGGTCTCTCAGTCTAGTTCTGTTGGCTACACAATCATGGGGAAGACTGCTGACTTGACAATTGTCTAAAAGATGACCACTGACACCTTGCACAAGGAGGGCAAGACACATTTTGATTGTTAAAGAGGCTGGCTGTTCACAGAGCTCTGTGTCCAAGCACATTAATAGATAGGTGAAGGGAAGGAAACTATATGATAGAAAAAAGTGTACAAGCAATAGGGATAACCACACCCTGGAGAGGATTGTGAAACAAAACCCATTCCAAAATGTGGGGGAGATGCACAGAGTGGACTTCAGCTGGAGTCAGTGCTTCAAGAACCACCACGCACAGACGTATGCAAGACATGGGTTTCAGCTGTCGCATTCCTTGTGTCAAGCCACTCTTGAACAAGAGACAGCGTCAGAAGCGTCTCGCCTGGGGCTGCTGCTGAGTGATGTAATGTTCTCTGATGAAAGTATATTTTGCATTTCCTTTGGAAATCAATGTCCCAGAGTCTGGAGGAAGAGAGGAGAGGCACAGAATCCATGTTGCTTGAGGTCCAGTGTCAAGTTTTCAGTCAGTGATGGTTCGGGGTGCCATGTCATCTGCTGGTGTTGGTCCACTTTGTTCTCTGAGGTCCAGGGTCAACACAGACATCTACAGGAAGTTTTAGAGCACTTCATGCTTCCTGCTGCTGACCAACTTTATGGATATGCAGATTTCATTTTCCATCAGGACTTGGCACCTGCACACCGTGCCAAAGCTACCAGTACCTGGTTTAAGGACCATGGTATCCCTGTTCTTAACTGGCCAGCAAACTCACCTGACCTTAACCAAATAGAAAATCTATGGAGTATTGTGAAGAGGAAGATGTGATACACCAGACCCAACAATTCAGAAGAGCTGAAGGCCACTATCAGAGCAACCTGGGCTCTCATGACACCTGAGCAGTGACACAGACTGATGGACTCCATGCCACGCTGCATTGCTGCAGTAATCCAGGCAAAAGGAGCAACAACTAAGTATTGATGCTGTACATGCTCATACTTTTCAGTTGGCCAACATTTCTAAAAATCCTTTTTTATTGGTCTTAAGTAATGTTCTAATTTTCTGCGAGACTGGATTTGGGGTTTTCATTAGTTGTCAGTTATAATCGTCAACATTAAAATAAATAAACATGTGAAATATATCAGTCTGTGTGTAATAAATGAATATAATATATACAAGTATCGGCCGATCTCAGATCTCCCAAAATTAAAGAAATCGGGGCCGAAAAATCAGTGCACCTCTAGTTAAAAGTCCATCAAAAGGGTAAGAACGTGTTTTGTTCTAGAGAACGTGTTTTCGCTATCCCAAACTTTACGTGTATTAATTGAATGCTTTAAAAAAAAAAAAACTTCTAAAATCCTGAAAGCCTTCTGCTCAGTTCTCTAACGAAGTCTGCTGAACATGTCCGACATGATGTTATGGCTCAAAGTCCAACATTTTAGATGCTTTGAGGTGAAATTGACCCCCTCTGTAAACACTAATGTAGCAGCATGTTCCAGTTCGTGTCACTGTTTCCGTTGTCTTTGTTCAGTTCTGTGTAAAAACGTCTTTTCTTCATGCACTAAGTTTCACTAATCAGATACTTCCTTTTTTCATCGGCTTGCTGCTCAAACTGAAGAAAGGTGAGACGTTTAGCGTGTGAAGCGAAATGGAAAAGTACCGCTTGTGTGTGCAGGGTGGAGGTGGGGTGACGTGTGTGTGGAGGGGTTTAGTGCAGAGGGTGTGTGCTGATATGTGGTGTTTTAGCAGCGACTAATCTCTACCTGTGTGCGGTTTGTGGGCGTGTCCCTGCATGCGTGTGTCTGCGAGTCTGCCGACCCCAGCTTAAACTGCATGAGTTGTTCCTGCTGAGGTCATCACTGGCCCCGCCCCCTGGCTGACATTTTCCTGTGTGTGAGCACGTCAATCAGATTTTATTTTTAGATGTTTGAAATTTCTGACTGCATCAGCTGATGGTCTGGTGACATAAATGCACCTTTCGTCACACCTCAGGTATTCAGAAATGTTCCTACCCGACTCGTGTTGCTGCTTTCGTTCAGCGAAACATTTTTAAACGAACACCGAGTCGAACAATAACAGCAGATTCCAACAAAACTGATTCGTTCTTAAGTTTTAGAGAGTGCAAAACGGAACGCAAATGCCATGACCAAAAATAAAATGTACATGTCACAAAGAAACACAATCAAAAAAGTACAACCACATTTTATGATGCTACAAATCAGAAAACAACTCCACAAAATGGTTAAAAAACACACAATTAAATGGCCAAATTTTAACTGTTAAAATATGGTAAAAATATATATTTTTAAATTCTTAACAATAATAGGTCAAGCAACATTCTATTAAAAAAAAAACTTCACTAAAAAACATTAAATCAACAAAATAAAATATTCAATTAACTGCAGATTATATAACAAAACTAGAAAACAAGATAATATTTAAACACATCCAACAAAAATACATAAAAACAGAGTACAGAAAATAAAACTAAATGTAATTTGACCTCAGTGTTTTTATATCTTTATTAAATAAATAAAAACGTAAAAATCTGTATGTTTATGAATTTGTCGCCTGGTCAAAAATGAACAAATTAGAGCTTTACATTGAAAAAATACTGAAGGTATTATTTTGGTTCCACTGGTATTTAAACCAGACTGGTTTAAATGTTTTTTTTTTTGTGTGTGTGTGTTTTTTTTTTTTTAACCAAATAAATAAAAAGCTAAAATTAGAAAAATAAATTTTTTGTGCCGGATCAAAAACCTTGACGCATTGTGGTGAATTCACAAGACCCAGATGTAGCTTGAAAAATACCTTCAGTGTGAAACTCTAGGAAGTTTGGTAGTGCAATAAAAACATTTTCAGTCAGTAAGGAGAAACACACTTATAAAGTTTAAGAAGTTAAAAATTTGACTCTAAACTTCATCAAAATGAAGA